GTTTTTGGAGACGTCACCAGAGGGACATCTCCTCCTCCTCCTATGGGGCGTCTGCTTGGCCCCTCCTCTCCCAAGTCCCCAGCCAAGGTTTTCCTTAAAGGCTTTATTGAGGCACCATTCACATACCACACGATTCCCCCACTTGAAGTACCCGATTCTTCTAAAGAATCACAGAAAATCACCACTTCAAAAAATGTAGGGTTTTTTTTTTTTTTTTTGACAGTACTAGGGTTTGAACTCAGGGCCTCACATTTGCTAGACAAGCACTCTATTACTTGAGCCCCTCCTTCAGACTGGTTTGCTTTAGTTTGCTTTCCAAACTTTTTGCCCTGGGTCTGTCCTCCTACCTATGCCTCCCAAGTAGCTGGGATTACAGGCGTGAGCCACCATGCCTGGCTTACGAATTGAGATAAGGTTTTGCTAGGTTTTTGCCCAGGCTGGCCTCAAACCACAATTCTCCCAATCTCCAACTCCCTCATAGCTGGGATTATGGGTGTGAGCCACCACACATGGCCAATTGTAGAGTATTTTCTTATCACCCCAAGAAGAAGCCCTTTAGCAATGACTCCACATTCTCCCTCTCAGCTCCCAGCCCCCAGCAACAGTAATCTGCTTTCTGTCTCACGGTTTGCCTGTTGTGCACACTTCACGAAAATGGGTTCACACGGGATGTGGTCTTTGTGTCTGGTTTCTCTTTTGGCATCATGTTTTCCAGGTGCACACACATTGTGTCACGTGTCAGAATCTCATTCCTTTTTATGGCTGCGTAGTATACCATTGTGGATAGACAGTGTTTGGTTTATCCATTTGTTTGTTGATGACCATTTCGGTTGTGACAGTCTCTTTATGTATTTGGTTCTTCTTAATTTTTAAAGTTAAATCTCAAACAAATATAGAAGTAGACTAGTCAGATGAACATCAGGTGGTGACTGTGGGCTTCCACAGTGATCACCCACCGTCGGTCTTGTTTTACTTGTGCCCCACCCCACAGTCTTCCAAAGTTGATCCCAGGCCTCATGTCACCTCACCATGCCAGGTGTCCTGAAGCCTTGGAAAACCCAAGGCAGGAAGAATCCCCTGTTGACACATCACAGAAAGGAATCCTGGGCCTTGGTCCAAGTCATTTTCCCCAGAGAGAATCTCGTTGGCTGAGCCTGGGTCACATGCTCTCTCTGATCCAGTCAGCATGGCTGTGGGTGTGCAGGTCACAGTGCAGGAAGAGTTAGGTAATAAGAAGCAGGACGAGAAACAGATCTGTGCCAGGCAGCCACGAAGCCATGTGGTCTCCATTTGGATGTCGTTGTCCCACCTCCTCACAGGAAGCATCTGAACCATTACGCTCATGAAAGTGAAATTCACAGGACCCAGAAAGAGCCCCCAAACCAAAACCACTGCTTCCACTCACTGCCCGATTCAACTTTTCTCTCTTAATCGAGATGAGTTTAAAAGTGTTTAAGCAGATGACAGACACTAATTCACACTAAGGTGAGGCTGCCTGATAGGAGAGGTCCCTTCCTAAGAACAGGAGCGGCAAGGGCAGTGATGTGGAAGGAGGTGCGGGCACCATGGGCTTGGGGTCAGAACAGGGATCCTGGGGACACAAAGACAAGCATCACTAGCTAAAACACATTGCTATCCACGCCAGTTGGGACTCACACCATCCTATGGACGTGTTAAGTCTGCCTTGATTTTCCATCCAGCCTGGCTGTGGCAGCCATCCCAGAAGGCCTGCCCATCGTTGTCATGGTGACGCTGGTCCTGGGAGTGCTACGGATGGCCAAAAAACGGGTCATCGTGAAGAAGCTGCCCATCGTGGAGACGCTCGGTGAGGGCCCCTGCCTCAGACTCCCTACACATTGGTCTGGCTTGGAGAGCCGTCCACTAGTCAATGTCAGAGTAGGTAGTGATGACTGCCGTGTTTTTTGCTACCAGGTTGCTGTAATGTCATCTGCTCCGATAAGACAGGGACTCTGACAGCCAACGCAATGTCAGTGACCCAGCTCGTCACATCCGACGGGCTCCAGGCCGAGGTGAGTCTCCTGTGGATTCACAGGCGTGAGACCAAGCTGTGCCCTGAGGTCCCGGTCCTCCCAGAGAAAGTGAGGAAGAAATGCACGGGCCGTGAGCCACCTCCTCGCTGCAGACAGCAGATGTCATCACGGCCGATTTAAGGTGGCCTCTTTTATTCTGTGATTGCTTTTTAATAATCACATTGCAAGCTTTATTTTTACTTTGTTTTTGCTGTCTAGAGATGGACCCAGGTCCTTGTGCATGCTAGGCTAGTGGTCTGCCCTGAGCGATAGCCCAGCCCCCCGTTACAGAATGCAAACGCTAGAGGACAATTGCTCTGGCCTCCCATGACAAACCCATCATGAGTCACCATTTGCGTTTCTCTGCCTCTCTCCTGGACATTTGGACGCTCCTTGAACTGGGAATTTCCTGTCCGGGAAATTCCAGAGCCAGAAGTCACCAAGTTATGGCCCATAGGTTGGTGACAACTTTGGAAGAACAAGTTTTCTTGGTGCACAAATGTGCATTGTGGACGTGCTGCAGCTTGCTCTCTGCTGCCTCAATGGCACTGTGCTCTCTCTACAGGGGACGCACTGGCTGCAAAGGCTAAATATTTCCTGTGTCTCAGTCAGCACCCGGCCACCCTGTTCTGGAAAGTTGTCCTCTCCCGGGCCCTGCTCCATGTCCTCACCCTGGCATGTGCCGCCCTGGCCCATCCCAGAGAGCACTTCCTGCCTTTGCCCCAGGCCGGTGCTCTGGGGTCAGGGAGGCCGTAGAGTCCTAGAGGGGACACTTCATGTCCTTGGCACCGAGCCCCAGGAAAGAGCCCGGGGTCCATCCAGGGGAGAGTGGTTGGACTCCTGGTGACATCCCTCCTCTGCCATACCCTGCAGGTCAGCGGAGTCGGGTACAATGGCAAAGGGGCCGTGTGCCTTCTCCCATCGAAGGAAGTCATCAAAGAATTTGCCAATGTCTCAGTGGGGAAGCTCGTGGAGGTGGGTGTCAGGGCACGCGGTACGTGTGTGGGATGTGGGGTTCTCCCCAGCAAGGGACACACAGCATTGGAAACATGGAGGGAAGAAGAGAACTCGCGCTCATCCCTGCCTGCAGGATGCTGCAGAGACAGCACAGAGAGGCGCCCGCCGGCAGCAAGCAGGCGGTAAACATGCCCTGCACTGGCACCTTGCAGATCAGGCGTGTCACCCTTGACTCAAGTCCCCTCCCCTCTCTATGGAGCAGGTGCCCTCCACCAAGAACAAGCCTCCTCCCCTGGCGAGCCCCCACCCCCATCCTGCTCTGTGAGCACCGCCTGCTAAGGTCCTGTTCAGTGATCACCTGCTGGCATGCACCCCGCCAGGACGGCAGGGAAGCTGGGGTCACTCACTCTCCCTCTGTCTCCTTTTGTCTTTAATTGAGGGACAGCCACGAACCATAGGACCCACCCTCTGAAAGAAGACGGTGTGGTGTGTTCAGTGGATTCCCAGTGGCAATTACCTCGGGACACTGTGTTACCCCAAATGGAACCCATCAGCAGCCACCTGCTCCATGGGACCCTAGTCCACCCGCCTGCCCCGTTTTCCCTTAGATGACTTTGGGAACCAACACTTGCCCAGGCAGGAAGTTGTACCTGTGTCTGCTGCAGAGCCAGGGCACTGGTTTATGTGAAGGACTGTCTTGGAGGCCCCAGCTCTAGAATCGAGCCAAGTGTGCGGTCTGACTTCATCATGGACCTTAGCGAGCCCAGGGCCCCCAGGCACCAGCTCCCAACGCTAACTGCACACACTCAGAAAGTGACCCCTTTCAGGCAGGCTGTGTGGCCAACAATGCTGTCATCAGGAAGAACACTGTGCTGGGACAGCCCACCGAGGGTGCCCTGATCGCCCTGGCCATGAAGGTAGGAGGCCTGAGGTCCACAAGGGAGACTTTCCTTGGCCCTGGAGCAGAATCAGAACTCCTGGCTGAGCTAAAGAGGAAGCTTGGTAACTGTGAGAGAAAATGGCCCCAAGGAGGTGGGCTCAGGGACACTGTGTGACCTTGGAAAGTCCTGTGGGCCTCTGACCCTTAATCAGGGCTCCAAAAGGATTTTCTGAGCACTGCTGTGGCTCACCCCTATGCAGGTGTGTGGGTGGCGGGCAGAGAGGGGGAAGACAGCCATGAGTCAAGACTTGCTGGTGCCCAGAGCAGTCCCTGCTCCCTCTGAGGCCCCAGGCACGAGGGACCAGTTCCTCTAAACACAGTTGATTGGCTCCTGGGCTCAACCCTTAGCTGTGACCTTGGTGGCTCTGCAGAGTGGGTACCACCAGTGCCCAGTGCTAACACCATGGGGTGCCCAGGTGGGAAGGGGATGGCCAGGCTAGGCAGGAAGTCAATGTGTGTGCCAGCTATGCTTTGGGCTTAGGGGACCAAGCAACAGAGGAAATGACAGCAAAATGTGGCCTGGGAATGCAAGCAAAAGGGAGAGAAGAGATGAAAAGGAAGGTGGGGGAGGCAGAGAAAGAGGGCTAGTGACCCCCGTCTACACAGCCAGCCTGGCCTGGATCCCCTCCTTCAACCAGGGCCATGGCCCCCTGCTCCTCCCTCACCCCCATTGTAACCACTGCTGTGGCCCAAGGTCTTTGTTTCACCAGTCTGGTCAAATCCATCCCGTCAAGGTCAAGCTAAAAACCCAGATCACAGAGCCTGTCCTGTCTGATCCGACCCCTCTCTGCCTCACAGCCTGTCCTAATGCCACACTCCATTCCTCCAGGCCTCGACCTCCCTCTCTGCCCTCCTCCTGCTGGCTCTCTCTGAATTTCTTCAGTTCTCCTCTGTGTCCTGACCTTGGACGCCTCTGCTTTCTAAGAACCTGGGCTTTCTCTGTTGACCCGTGCCAGTCTGTTTTCACCTGTCTGTCACTCAGGTACAAGCCCTCTGGAAGCCAGTATGGTGGGGGGGGGGTAGTGAAGATTTCTGGACCCTTAACTATGTCCCAGTGAAGGGCTTTTCCCCAGCGCAAATCTAAGCACTGTCCTCACCTCCCGTTCTTTTCCTTCCACTCCCCGAATCTCTGGGTGTTAGTCAGTCTGCACTGTTCCCCTATAAAGCAGAGCCAGGTCAGCTTCTCATGCCCCAGAGAGAAGGGACGGCCAGGCCTGTCTGTCCTGCTGGGTGACACCCTGGCGTCAGGTCCCCACCCTGTTCCCACCACCTTTCCAAAACTCTCCCTGCTGTGATGGGTGTGGTGCTGGGCGCTCTGTGACCAGACGCTTGGTGTCTGACCATCCTGAACGGCTCTGAGGGCCAAGCCCATGAGTCTCAACCTTTTTCCATCCTCACCCCCAGGACTCGTTTTCCTGGGGTTGCCAGAATAAAGTGCCACAAACTGGGTGGTTTAAAGCAACAGAAACTTGTGGAATCCATCCTATGGGCGAGTGGAGATCAGGGTGGAGGTAGAGGTGGATCCAGGCTTCTTCCCCAGCCCCTGGCGTGTGGAGTGGTCACAGCGCTTCTTGCCGTCACCCAGCCCCTGGTTCCCTGTCACATGGTGTTCTGTGTGTCTGTCTGCACATGGCATTTCTTCTTCTCTCCAGTCACCTTGGACGAGTGCCAGTCATAGAAACCTCAAGGTGCATGGTACACAGTGCCATGTGCAAAGACCCTGTTCCCAAGTGAGGACCCCAGGAGCAGGACTGCAGCATGTCTTTTGGGGACACAATTCAACCTAGCACCCCTTAAGGGGTGTGTGTAGACGCTATTTTCCTAATCTGCCCACTCCCATTACATTTTTTTTTCTTGCAGAAGTGGGGATGGAACCCAGCATCACACATGCAGGGCAAGTGCTCTACCTCTCAGACGTCCCCAGCCCTTTTATTTTTATTTGAAGACAGGGTCTCGCTATGTAGCCCAGGCTGGCCTTGAACTCACATGCATCCTCCCTCAGCATCCTGTGTAGCTGGGATGAGAGGTGTGCCGGGCCCCATTACATCTTAACACCACAGGAGCACTGTGCATCAGCCGTGGGCCTCACACACATCTGTGCTTTTATGTGTAAAGGGGAAGACTGTCACCTCCGCCACCTTCCCGCCCCCAAGCAGGCAAAAAGATGCGTGGCTAGGCCTGGTTTAACACTTGGAGAAACAGGTTTTGAGCTGTCGAGTAACTGACCCAAAAAAGTGTCTGCCAAAGAGCCCACAAGTGACAGGCCTGTCAGAACCCAGGCTGCAGACGGCAGGGCCACCTCACTGACCCAGGGTTCTTTCTGGGAAGTTGCTGCACCTTCCTTTCCTGACCCAGGAGAAACCCCACAGGTGTTTGTTCCTAAGCTGGTGACAGATAGAAGCTGAGGCTGAGAGCAAGGGACATTTTTTTTCCTGGTGGGCAATTTGAAAAGAACTGGCCTTTCCTGAGAGTGACATGCTTGGGCTTCTCACCTGCAAGGCAGTTTAATTGATCATTTCCTCGGGCTGGGTGTGCTCACAGCCTGGCTTCAGGTGACTCATAAAAAACGCCCCCATCCTATTACCCCAGATGAACTTAAGTGACATCAAAGATTCGTACGTAAGGAAGAAAGAGATTCCCTTCAGCTCCGAGCAGAAGTGGATGGCGGTGAAATGCACCCCAAAGAACGAGGTGAGTTTGGGCATCTATTCCTGTCCTTCTTCCCCCACCCCAAAATGAGTCAAAAGCAGCCCTGGAGGGGAAGGAGTACCGTGCTCAACTCCCTCCTGCTGTGAACCTCCAGCCTGGAGATGCAGCCAGCACCCAGGAAACCTTCCTTGTTCTCGGGGCCTCTTCTGGGCCTTTGACCTAAAACTGCAGATCTCAGAGTGGGGTCCCTGGCCCAGCAGTGTCAGCGGCGTCTGGAAATTTGTTAGGTGCCTGAGGCACCTCAGCCCCTTGTCAGAAATTCCAGACATGAGACCCACGAACCCGTGTTTCCAGGAATTCTGGGGTAGGCTCAAGTGTGAGACCCTCTGGCCTGCTATAAAACTGTTGGGCAGTCACGTCCCTGCTGGTAAAGCTGACCCAAGAGGCACCGTGCAGGTCTTTGGTGTCCTGGCGCTCAGTTCTGCATACATCCTATGTGCGTGCTGAACGTCACTACCAACAGGTGTTCAGCGGTGCAGCTCAGTGTCCACCACAGACGGTGGGAGCCATAGACCCCCCCCCACACGCCTGTGCACACACGTCCCACGCCACACCAGTCGGCAGGGATTCCAGCTGGGTGTGTTTTCTTATTGCTCACTTTGAAATTTTCCAACTTTTCAGATTGTCTTCAATGAGAACATCTATTGAAAAGAATTTTTGTTGCCTTCCACCTTCTTCTCCAGCCACCCCCTCTTTTCTCACCTGCTCTAGGTGGATTCCATCCTGGTGGTCTGTGCAGACATTGCTCCTTTCCCATCAGCCACGGGGGCTCTGCCAGCTCACTTCAGGCTCTTGCCCCCATAAACCCCTTAAAAAGGGTTAGGGCCGGGTGCGGTGGTGCTTGTCTATAATCCCAGCTACTTGCGAGGCAGATATGAGGATCACAGTTTAAAGCTGCCCTGAGGAAAGTTGGCTTGAAACCCTATGTGGGAAAATAAATAAATGAATTAAAACAAAAGGCCTGGGGCGTGGCTCAAGTGGTAGAGCGCCTGCTTAGCAAGCGTGAGGCCCTGGGTTCAAACCCCAGGACAGCAAAAAGAAAAAACAAAAAAAAAAGCAGGGTGGGGGAGGCTGTGGATCTCTTCGCGCCTCAGATCTTTCCACCCCTTACAATGGGAACATGAGATACACAGAAACATGACTTAAGATGAAAGCCGTTTTTAATTCTGCCCTCCTCTCCGGGCCCACCCACCCAAGGTAACTCCCCTGCACAGCCTGGGTAGAGTGTCCTGGGGTCTGTGCACTGCCGGCTCCAGGTGGCTGTTTTCAAAACAAGGTCGTGCTGCCTGTAGTGTTTGTACCTTGCTTTTTTTCCCCATAAAAATGCTCCGCCTTGGATGCTCCTGTACTCACTGATGGTACTCGCCGTCCCCTGCTCCCTTGTGATCCAGGCAGGCCCCGCACGACTGCTGGGGCGACAGCGAGAGCCACGCTGCCCACGTGCTGTCTGCATGGAGCTTACCAAATACACAGGGCATTCATTTGAGCTCCTTCTTAGATGCCAAGTTCGTGTGAGACCAAGACAGACATGGTGCCTGCCCTCGGGAGGCAACAGTCTAAACAAAGCAGACATTTAGCAATCACACATTGACTGGGACGCCTCTAGTTAATGATGCATACAGATGTTGTGGGTGGCATTAACAAGGGGACTTAACGTAAACAGGGGTGATACAGGTCAAAAACGGACCTCGTTCTTTTTATGGCAGCATAGTATTTCACTGAGTGGTTTCCATGACTTCTCTAGTCTGTGCTGTTCCTGCGGTCAGCCATGGTCCGCTATAAATCACTCCACTGAGAACATCCTTGTGCGGAATGAGGGGATGGTCACTGAAGCGAGGGCACCCAGTGACTGCAGAATTTCCCTTCTGTCTTTTCCAAGGGTCAGGAGGACATTTATTTCATGAAGGGAGCCTTCGAGGAGGTGGTCCACTGCTGCAGCATGTACAACAATGGTGGCATTTCCCTGCCCCTGACGCCCCAGCAGAAGTCATTCTGCCTACAGGAGGAGAAGAGGATGGGGTCACTCGGTCTGCGGGGTCAGTGCTGACTGTGGGGTGCACAAGAGTGGGGTCCACGGGGAACAGGCCATTGCCAGGACGGCGGCCAGGCAGCCTGCCAGCAGCAGTGAAAACCAGCTCAGAGTGTAACGGTCAGGTGAAAGACAGACATCCCCGTCACCTCCCGGTCGCCACATGACCCCTGCCAGTGCTGACGTGGCCTGTTGGGTAGCAGAGCTGGGACCCTCGCTTGCGAGTCCCCTAGGACAGGCGATGGTCTCTGCCACACCGCTGGCTTTCCCAACCGGCCTGCAGCATTCCTCTTGTCGGGAAAACCCTAAGCTCTGTTAAAACGAGGCAGACGTCTCATTTTCTGCACCAGGGCCAATGCCCTTGATGAGGGGCTGAATTTTAAACCTTTCTCTTTCTCTGTGTGTCATTTGTCACCCTGCCCCTTTTCAGAGAAAGTGTTAGAAAACACGTGTGTGCCCTTGGGGGAAAGAAATGTACTGGATTCACCCTATCAGAGCCTATTGCCTCGGTCTCCCCCCTTCAGGGAGCAAAATGTTCAACTGCTGTCACCATGCTCATCAGGGTACCCGGCAAAGCCACCATGGCTCGTGGGCCACACACAGCCAGCACCGGGCATTTGTCATCAATTCCTGAGTGAGGGGTGGTCCTCCAAAGCAGAGACACCGTGTACCTCTCAGTGTCCCCAAAGTGCTTTAAATGAGCACTCGGTCTACAGAATACCCAGACTGGCCTCCACACAGGGACCCGTTCTGGGCCTCGGAGGAGAACGTGATGAGGGTAGCGAAGGTGGTGGGAGTCCACTGCCAGCGCCAGACCTCGCGTGGTCTTCCCATCTAGAAATGCACTTTTGCTCAGCCGCCATCAGCGGGGCCCATGGCTGGCTTGGGGACCGGGGCAGAGCTTACTCGTGACAGTGAGTATGAGCTACATGCCTGCTGCAATGCCAGGCTCAGAGCCGTGCCGAGTGCCTTAGAGACCTGCTGGAGCCTCTGGAGTGGCCTGGGCTTTCAGAACCACTCCCCTCCATCTACAAGAGCTGATCAGGACCACCACAATGGTGGTCCAGGGGGCGGCAGCGCAGGGCAGGAGTGAGGTCCTCGGGGGTTGAATGTGTGCAGATGGTTCCAGGCCAAGGGAGGCTCGTGGTGGACATTTGAGGATGTGCAGCTCCCAGGATCAGCATGGAGAGGAAAGCGAAGGAATGGCACAGGCGTTATTAGGACATGGCACCAGCATTATCAGACAGTATATGACCATGCCAGAGGTCAGTACTGCTGGAGCCTTTGTGGTCGCAGCCCCCTATCCAGTGTCAGAAAGGTGACAAAGTAAGACAAACTCATTCTACCCCATCTCAGCCCCCAGGAGCCAGGGGCAAGGGCAAGGGCAAGCCAATAGAGTCCCTCAACCAGGGTGCTCTCCCTGAAGTTTTCTTAGTGGCTGGTAGCTGCTACCCCAGGTCTGCTGCGGGTGACAGAATGCACGCACACAGAGCCAGGGAGGGGCAGGAACTGCCACGATGCCCTCACCGCCTGCAGCTCCCAGGCTCTCTGTGCTGCACTTGTTGGGTGGGGCTCACCTTCCCCGCCGAGTCCTCCCCACTGGGCACACCTGTGCGGGCCTGAGGTCCACGGGATCCGACCCACCATTTGTAGCCAGGAGCTCACTCGGCAGCCCAGCTGCTTGCAAATGACTAGGGCTGTGGCGAGGCTGGCTGGGGACTGAAAAGTGGTCGCCTCAGCCCTGATGACACTTCCTTGGGTCTTGGTTTCTTGCAGTGCTGGCCCTGGCATCTGGGCCTAAACTTGGGAAGCTGACCTTCCTGGGCCTCGTGGGGATCATTGACCCCCCGCGGGCTGGCGTGAAGGAAGCCGTTCAGGTTCTCTCTGCGTCGGGTGTGGCGGTGAAGATGATAACTGGAGATGCCCTGGAGACGGCCGTGGCCATAGGTAACCAGGGTGGGGTGGGGAGGAAAGGATCTGCCTCTCCTTCATCTGCAAACTGGGTCAGGAGTGCGCATGCCCACCTCGAGATGCTTACAAAAGGTCCTGACGGTCACACGGCGGCGCTCCACTGTCCACCTTCTGACACGTTTCCAAAATGTTAGCAGGTTCTCCAAAAGGGGGGAATCCTCATGTAAACTGAGGACCTACTGTGTGTTGAGGGCTTCCCATCCATGATCTCGCTTCACTTTCACCACGTGCAGTTTCAATCTGGCTTCCACACCGGCTGTGCACCCTTGGCAAATCATTGAACCACTCTGACCCCCACTCAATCTCTTCATTCCGAGAGGGCCAGCAGGTGTCCTCTGATCATTACTGTTAAGAGGGTTGTCATGTGTTGGCTTTTCTCTACTCTGCCTCGAGGCGGCCTAATGCCGTGGGGAAATCACAGGCTTTAGAATCAGAGCCACGTCAGGTCCCAGTATTACCACCCACCAGCCCTGTGATCTCGGGAAGGTCACTTCCCCTTCAGTTCCCCTCTCTCCCATGGGGAGAATGAGGCCTGTGTGTAGTCAGTTCTGAGGGTGGAACTGAGGTCAAGCCACGCAGCAGCAGCAGCTCAGGAAACAGTACCCATGATGGCTTTATTCTCGTCACTCTGTGACCAAGATGGGGACTGTGTGGTGTGACAGGTGGAGACAGGGTCTTGGATCAAACCCTCTGCACTGATTCTCCCAAAGGAAGGAACATCGGTCTGAGCAATGGGCAGCTGAAGACTATGTCTGGGGAAGAGGTGGACGGCATGGAGCAGGGTGTGCTGGCGAGCCACGTCGGGCAGGTGGGTCCTCCCGGGACTCGGCTCAATGGGGACGGGGGCTGGGGGTCCTCCTGGGATTTGGCTCAATGGGGATGGGGGCTAGGGGTCCTCCCGGGGCTCGGCAGGAAGAGGGAGGCACCTTGAGCTCCTCGTCCACTGACTGCACTTCACTTCCCTTCCCTGAGCCAGGTGTCCGTGTTCTACAGGACCAGCCCAAAGCACAAGGTCAAAATCATAAAGGTATGCTGGGTAGGCTGGCACAGGTGGGCCAGCCACAGAGCTCTAGCACATGGTCCCTCTGGTGACCACCCAGGGTGGAGAGGTAGCTCAGCTGTCCTTGGCTGTGGCTTCCTTCTCTAGGCCAGAGGCAGCAGCACACATCCCACACTAGGCCATGCTTAGCCACACGGGATCCTAGGAAATGTTACTTCCAGTGAGATAGGCACACCCCAGCTAAAACCCGGGACCCTATTTGGAGACAGAGCAGGGAACGGGGTCCACTGGGGACCACTGGCCACATCCACGGGAGCTGGGAGTGGGAATTGTGGATCACAAAGGAAAATTACACAGACACCATCCCACCAGCCGCTCTCCTCCCCTTCCTTATCTACGTGACCCATGCCCTAGCTTCCTCCTCTGTAACACGGGGACACCGTAGGAGACGTGAGCTCATTCAAGCCCCCGGCACCAGCAGGCGCTCAATAAAGAGCTGTGCGGTTTTCTGACGAGTGTCAGGAATGAGTCCTGTGCACATGCTTGGCTTCTCACACATGTGCACTGAGAACCGACCCCTGCGCTCGTGGGCAGCTGTATTTTATTCTCTTGCATTATTTTTAGGGTTGCTCTGCTGGGTTTTGTTTGTGTTTTTGGTGCTACGGAGTAAATCCCCGCACAAGCTGTTCCTCAAAGAAATTATCAGTGGCACCTGGGCTGGGCGCGTGGTTGGTTGATTGCTGCTGTTAACGGTAACTTTACGAGTCTTTTGTCACAGTGCTGGCACTGCCACACCTGGTGGCCCAGCTGGAGCCTCACATGGCCTGTGAGGCAGGGATGGTGGCTCCCACTTTGTAGATGGGGAAACTGAGGCTGAGAGGTGTGCAGGGGCCAGCTGGCTGTGGCGTCCTGCAGACGAGTCTGCCTCACACATGGTGAACAAGGCTGAGTTCACCATGACCTCATGACCCTGAGGGGAGGGTCAGAAGCGTCCTCAGGCTGGGACCTCCATCGCCTACTCCTCCCAAAGGCTTTGCAGGAGTCGGGGGCAGTTGTGGCCATGACCGGGGATGGCGTGAATGACGCAGTCGCCCTGAAGTCTGCTGACATCGGGATAGCCATGGGGCAGATGGGGACGGATGTCAGCAAAGAGGCCGCCGCCATGATCCTGGTGGACGATGACTTCTCAGCCATCATGTACGCTGCGCTGGTGAACGCGGTGGGGGCTTCCTGGGAAAGCTATACCCTGAGACTCATCCCTGTGGCAGGTGTCCCTACCCCAAGCCCCAGGAGGCGGGCAGAGCAGCGACCTGGGGCCCCACTCCTGCCAGCTCTGGGAGAGACCGCATCAGTCGCGGAAGGAAAACCCAGAGCCACCTGCATGGTCAAGGGCAAGAGACAGGAGAGCTACCTGTCACTAAAAATGGGTTCTTTTGTGTTTTGGTAGCACTGGTGTTTGAACTCGAGACCTTGAACTTGCTAAAGCAAGCACTCTGGCACTTAATCCAGGTTTCCAGACCTTTTTGCTTTTAGCTTTGTGCTGTTTCTAGACAGGGTCTCAAGGTTTTGTTGAGCTGGCCTCAATGCCCCTAACTCCTGAATAGCTGGGATTACAGATGTGAGCCACCTCACCCAGACTGGTGGAAGAGTGTTTTAATGAGAGAAGTGCTCACACCGTGGTGTTTTTTGTGGGACTAGGGTTTGAACTCGGGGCTTTACACTTGCAAAGCAGGCACTCTATTGTTTTGAGCCACACTTCCAGGTCATTTTGCTCTGGCTTTTTTAGAGATGGGTCTCTCAAGCTATTTGCCCAGGCTGGCCTCGAGCAGAGATGCTCCTGATCTCAGCCTCCCGAGTAGCTAGGGTTACAGGGTGCGAGCCACCAGCACCTGGCTCCCACTCTGGTGATTTAAGTGGGACAAGTTAGAGGAGGAGCAGAAACGCCCCACTCAGTAACGAAGATGTGATGGCCAAGCTCTGGGATTACAAAGACCCATCTTCTTTTCCATTTTTCCCCCTCTTTACAAAGCTCCCTTCTGTCTGGATCTCACTTTAATTAGTTCCAGTTTAAGGCCTTACTCATAAGAAATCACAATAATTAGGGGTAAGGGGAAAACTTTTAAACCTGAGGTTGAAAGTCTAAGCAGGTATCGAAGTTGGGCGTGATTGGACACCTTGCAAAGACATCGTTACAGGAGTTACCTTTTGTTAAGACACTTCCCCCTTAGTTTAAAAAAAAATGCAGCCAGAAAATGCCACACATCTATAATTCTATTCTTTCAACTCCTCTAAATTTATTAAGAATTTATTAAATTGTTTAATAAAAATGGGGTTTGGGCAGTTTTCTGCCCCTGCCTTCTACCTCTCCCTTTTGCCGTCTCATTGGTTTTGCTGGGTCTCGAGCTGGTGACTCCCAACGACGCAGTCGGCCCCCAGTTCCTTTATAGTCTAATGGAGGCGTCCGTCCCCCCCCCACCCAGCCCTCCGCCCACCGCCCCCTCTCCTGCAGGAGCGCCGTGGAGGAGGGCAAGGGGATTTTTCACAACATCAAGAACTTTGTCCGCTTCCAGCTGAGCACGTGAGTGGAGGCCGCCCTAGCTGAGGTCGTTGGGCGCTGGCCCTGGGCGCCCTTGACCGACGCCGCCTGTGCCCGCAGGAGCGTCTCGGCCTTGGCCCTGGTCGCACTGTCCACCGTGTGCAGCCTGCCCATCCCCCTCAACGCCATGCAGATCCTGTGGGTCAACATCATCATGGACGGCCCGCCAGCACAGAGGTGAGGCCAGCGGCGCGGGGCCAGCGCAGCGAGGAGGGAAGGGAAAGGGCCTCTTTCCACAAGGAGTCTCCAGACAGCTGAAGTGTTGTCACACCTTGGGGGAGGACAGGGACGGACTGGGGTGCAGAGAAGGAAGCGGCTGCTCCCTCAGCCTAGAATGCACTCTGGTTCTTCCGTCAGCTCACCGCCTCCAAGGAGTCCTCCCTGCTTGCTCGAATGGCAGCCACCTCACGCGCAATCCCCTCACTCTGTTTTTGCCTAAAAGGGACATTATATCCATTTTCTTGCTTGATTAGACGGTCAGCTTCTGGGAGACCAGGTTTTGTGCCCTGTTGCTTTCTGGGTCCTAGGGTGGTGCCTGCATGTCACAGGTGCTCATGAACTCACTGGTGCAAGTGAACACGGGAAGGGAGGGGCAGAGGGGCAGAAGGGATGGGAAGGCAGGGAGATCCCGCGTGACGTGATGAAGCAGCACTTGCTGTTTGTGCCTTACCGCTGCTGTGCTGGTCACCAACACGGCACAGAGGGGCTGAGGGGCCAGTCCATCCCGCAGAAGCCTGCGAGGGCTGCCTCTTCCCCGTGCACTCCAAGGGGCTAGGATCCGGGAGAGGACGGGAGAGGTGACGTTAACGCTGGGACTCCTGCCACGAGGATGGGAATGGCGCGGCTTGCATGGACCACCTGAGGCCTATGACAAATGCCAGTGTGGCTGGCAGCCCCAGTAGGTGTGTCAGAAGCGTCTCTTTCTGGGCAGCTTGGGGGTAGAGCCAGTGGACAGAGATGCCCTGGGGCAGCCGCCTCGCAGCGTCCAGGACACCATCCTGAACAGAGCCCTCATCCTGAGGGTCCTCATGTCCGCCGTCACCATCATCAGCGGGACCCTCTTCATCTTCTGGAAGGAGGTGAGAAGCGCTGTGCTGGTGTTCACAGCACAGCTGCTGGACAGGTGCTCCATGGGCCCCCATTCTGGGGGACAGGAACAGGGTGCTGCCAGAGGGAAGTGGAGCACGGGGTGGAGAGAGGCTGTCGAGGATGTGATGAGGTCCCCAGAACAGAGCCCGAACGCTCCCACTGTCTTCACTGTCACCGGACAGCTACTGAAGGACCCTCCTGGCTTAGCCGCTTGGGGTATCGGTATGGGGGCCATGTTCTCTTCAGCTGAGAAAGGAATCCCACTGTGGACAACCCCTGTGTAGGACGGGGCCAGCCCCGTCTGTTTTCCCTCAAACTCGCCTCTCTTGGGCCCCAAATACACGTCGCCTTGCTCGCTCCCCACCCCTCCCTCCTTGGCCTCCAGAAGCAGCCTTGTGCATGGGGACACAGGGCCGCTGTGGCAGGCTTTCATGACTTAAAATGGGGTGCTCAGCCCACACTTCAAGGGGTACAGCTGTGAGCTCAGGCCAGAGAGGATCCCATCAGAGGGTGGGAGGTTGAGACAAGGACTGTCCAGAAACTTCCAGACAGGAGCCTGGCTCACTTTGGCACCAACCTTCACTCTGGCCCCAGCAGAGCTGCCCAGTCTTCCTTGAGGTCAGCTTTCCTACCCGTAGGAAATGATATTCTGCTCTGTGGGTTCATGGAGGGGCACTGACACCTTCTAGAGGAGGCAAGGGCCTTCCTTTCCTGAATCGCCTCTTACCTCCCTGCTGCAGGGCTGTGTGGCCTTGGAGTGGCCACATGGCTTGACTTATGGGGGTTACACTAAGTGGGCTGCTTGGCAGGGCAGGGAGTTCCATGGTCTTCACGAATGGCCACTGGCTTACATACTTGTCTCAGATTCCTGAAGACAGAGCCAGCACTCCACGCACCACCACCATGACGTTCACCTGCTTCGTGTTCTTTGATCTCTTCAATGCCCTGAGCTGCCGCTCTCAGGTGAGCTGAGCAGGGCCTGGGCCGCTCCCTGTGCAGCCTGGGACTTGCTGCCTGTGGCATCCAGCACCGGCCTCTGCTTTCCCATGCTTCCCTGATAGTCACAGGGAGGGAGGTGCAGGGCCGAGCTGAGGACCAGCCTTTCACCCCCTGGCCAGGAGACACGCCTCCAGCAGGGCCCGCTGCTCTGTCCAGGCAGACATGGGGTGGCTCAGAGCAGAGACATTGCCTTACTACATGGTGTCCTGGGGTGCCCCTGCTTCTACCCGACGTGGAGTGTGCACAAGCCAGCACACCCCTCCTCCCCGCAGACCAAGTTGATCTTTGAGCTGGGCTTTCTCCGGAACCGTATGTTCCTCTACTCGGTGCTCGGGTCCATCCTGGGACAGCTGGCTGTGATTTACGTGCCCCCGCTACAGAGGGTCTTCCAGACGGAGAACCTGGGCGTGCTTGGTGAGTGTGGGGACAGAAGAAAGAGGTTATCTATGACCAGGGCAGTGTAGCTTCAGGACCACTGAGAACCAGAGCTTTGCATGATGCTGAGTCCTCAAAGGACAGCCAACATGGGTGTCTGCTCTGTGTCACACATCATAGGAGGGGGACATGATGGGGGACGCAGAACAGAAAGGCCCAGCAAGAAGCCCCTCAGGTGGAGTGGGGCATAGAGTCAGGAGCTTCAGCTGAGGCCATCGAGATGGGCTCAGCCTTTGGGGGTCCTCAGCTGGGGCTGGTGTGACACAGACATCTCTTACCTGAGACAAGACTTGGGGCCTTTAGAGCCATAGTCACTGAGTGCTCAGACACTCCCCAGTACCCAGGGTTCTCCTGGATCCCCGGCCAGGTGGGGCCACAGCAGAGGTGGGGCAGGGGAGACAGTCCCCTAAGACTGAGCTCATAAGGGTCTGGACACGGTCAGCCAGGCCTGAGGTCATGCTTGAGACCCCAGGCAAGACTGGGACAGCCACCTCTCCCCAATGAGCTAAGAACTAGTGCCCACGAGCGAGTGTGGGACGAAAAGGGACCTCGAATGAGTTTTGTAAGGACATCCCACCACAGGGAAGGAAGCCAGCTTGCCTGGGCAGCAGGGCAAAGCCAATCCCAGAGGAGCCCCAGCCTTCAGCTCCCAGCTTTAGGTGAAGAGGAGCAGGGGACAGGAGGACAAGGCAGGGGCTCTGCCGCAGTGTGGGCATGGGTTCTGCCCTCTTCTCTCTCGGGCAGATTTGTTGCTTTTAACTGGCTTGGCCTCCTCTGTCTTCATCTTCTCCGAGCTGCTCAAGCTGTGTGAAAAATACTGCTCTCGAGCCAGGAACCCCCAGACACACCACGAGGACGTAGAGCAGCCCCACCTGTCACATCCCTGAACGAGCTGAAGTCTTGGTGCGGGTTCCACCCCATCCTCTGCAATGCCCACTCTTCTGAGGGAGACTTTGTGATAGGGTGGCTCTGTCTGTCCATGTCCCTCTTTTGCCCTGGGACACCAGGGAGGAACTCTCCGCAAAAGTCATGCTATTTATTAAATCACAATGGTTTTTATTAATCCTGTCTGTCGCTGTATTTGTGCTATGGCTTGAGGCAATGCAGCCCCAGGGGACGGTGCACAGGGAGACCATCTCACTCATCCTCAACCTCTGCAACTGCACTTCCTTGTCATAAAATGATAGTTTAAGGTATTTCTAAAAAGCACCATGCCAGTGACCTAAGCATTTTGGGTTCAGACCCCTACATCACCCCTCCCCCAGAAAACAAAAATCTATTTCAAAACACCAGCTCACTTATACACACTGTTACCAGCAAACTTACCTTGGGCTGCCCAAATAAACACATTAGAACAGCAAAGGACCAAGATGGGTAACCATTTGCAAAGCTGTTAATTTCATTTTCCATATTAGTGACTAAAGGAAGAAAACCACAGGTGCTTAACAAAAAACAAAAGGCTTTCTAGAAAAGTCAACATGTATTCCTGACAGATCGTTCAGAACCCAAGTACAGAGACTTCTGTTACAGCGTGAAACTCTGGCTGAGAAGGACCAACCACTATCTTTCTTTAATGCTCCGAAGAATCTGCTGATGCAATTAACCAAGAAGAAAAAATGAATGGAGCAGCGACTGGGAGAGTGGGTGCTGTCTTTATTTCTAGGTGTGTGGTGGCAGTGGCAGCCATCTCCAAGAGAAGCCACTGACAAGACAGCAGCAGGGAACAGAGCAGCCTCACCTGGGAATTTATTAAGACCGTCCAGCCCTCCCACTCAGACAGCGAGCCAGACCCCACCACTTGTGTTTTGAGAAGCCCTGTAGTGATTCTGATGCATGGTCACAGTTGACCATGATCGCCAGATGACAGAATTCAGCAAGGGGACTGGGATGAAACTGCACAGAGTTCAAGAGCTTTCCTGTGTCAAACAACCATTGGTTAGGGGGGAAAAAAAAATCCACTTATGGTTCCAGAAATGATGACAAGAACTTACTGCAGGTCCAGGGTTCCCGTCCTCAGATGGAGGCGTTGGTATTGGCCAAGTAGAGAATGAAAAACAGATTAACATAGGAGGAAGTTTCTGGGAAATACAATGGCCAGCTTTCTAGAAATGGTCACAGTGCCACCACAGCTTAGAGAAAAGCAAGAATCAAGACAGTCCTTACTTTAATCTTTCAAACCTAAAACTCCAGTGACTAAAACATGAGGCAGAGACATAAGCGCACACAGAAATTGAGCGGATAAGGAAGTCAGTGGGAAAAAGACGTGCCACTTAGTAAAAAGGTACCATACTTTATTTAGAGGTATATTTTTAAATACGTTTTGAATAGGCTGAAGATTTAGAAGTAAAAATGGGAACTGCACATCCCAGAAGCCTTAAGAGAAAAACGCTGCAATGATGTAAAATTTGTGTACAGAAAAATGCCATAAACGAAAACAAAGTTGAACAAACAAAAAAGATTAACCATCACAGCAAATGCTATTTTGATTTGTTCAAAAGCAAGCACTCTTGCAAGTCAGTAAGAAAAAAGACCCACACCCTAGAACGGCACAGGACACAGACGGATGGTGCTGAAGACTGAAGCCGCTCACCACGGCTGGAAGGAGAAACTGAAGAACTGTGGGCTTTGTCTATCAGGCAAACAAAAATCAGATCTTAGTACAGTGTTACGGAGAAGTAGCACACAGGCACTCCGGTCAGTTACGAGGATAACGTGTTAATTTGTCAACATCCAAATAACAAAAAGATTAGGTGCCTTTTAACCCAACAACTTGCAGACAGTCACGCAGACACAGAGGCAAAGCCACACACGGAAAGCGCTGTGGGACTGGACAGAGCAGAGGAAGAGGAGGTGGCGGGCATGGAGCACCTCCGCTAGAAACAGGAGTGGCGGGCATATCAGCACGTGGAACAGGTGCCACCAGCACGTGCCACCTGCTGCCCGGGGAGGAGCCCTTAGTAGCTTTGCAACTCGGGTTCTGCCTCTGCCTTTCCTTACACCGTTTCACGTCTCCATCTTTTTGTCATGTACATGTGACACCTTTTAATAAAGACAGAGGGAAGATAAGAATCGCCATGAGTGGACGTGGACGGTCCATCTACCTCCCACCAGCACGCCCTGGGCCTGGTCAGCCTCACCTGTAGGGAGGCCTGTGGTCCTTACAACCTGGACTGTTGCCCGCTCTCACAAAGACCCCAAAAGTTCCTCAGCAACAAGGGCCCTGGCTGACACACAGACAGCTTTGTGTAAAGTTTGTGACAAAAGGTGTATGTGTGGAGAGGCTGAACCTCACACCAGGAGAATGCCATGACCGCCACCTGCCCACTGCAAGAGGCCCGAGCCCCAGGTGACCGTGCCTGGCTTGGTGCCCTCCCATCTTGGAATAAGAATGCTGCCTTGGGAACAGGTAGCCCCGTCCCTCCAGCCTGTGACCTGGGCTGTCCCAAGGACAGGCCTGATGTCAAAAGGCACGTGGGGTCTGGGTAGCATGACCTTCCTCAATAGCCACAAAGCGCAGTGACAGTGACACCAAGGTGCAGACTCTGTACACCTGTCTCTAGTGAGGTATTTAACCACAGTTTTATAAAAATCCTTCCAAACTTACTGCCGGGGACCTCTTTGGATTTATGCCTGCTGACATATCAGAAAGATCACATAATACATCCAACGAGCCAGAGGACTGGCTTCTTGTAAGGAAAACTGATGATGACTGAGTCCTTCTCTGTGTCAAGCGCCTGCCCTCGACACAGGGTGCACTTTGCTTTTGAAGGCTGGTTGACAAGGCCTTCTGTCTCAGTCAGGATTGCTAAGTGGAAGATTCGATGAGCCTCCTGGTAGAAAAGTGCAGAACCTGCAAAATGCAAGCTGCTCAACTCACTATGGCTTTTAATAAAGGCAAACTAGAGAAGAAAAAGTTGCATTTTGGTCAGATCTGCAAAAGGTCAACGTTTCCAGCAGAAAATAAAGGGACGAGGTACAGGTCTTTGAGGCACAGCTCCCAAGCCTGGGGGTTCCTGGTGGCACGACTCACAGTGCATTGTAGAGTTATTCAGGCCTGTGTCAGAGGGGAGAAGACAGCCGTGCTCAGAGGCTGTCAGCATTTCAGGATCACTGGAGTTGGCTTAAGGTAAGTCTGCTCTGTCCAGTTATCCACCATCCCTTTGGGGATGTCCTCCTGGAGAAGGGACAATACTGATGGCTCTGACACAGTCTAGAGTCTAGTGCCCAGAGGTCTAGACCCCTGCCCCATACTGATATCACTCACCACTGACGTATGGGATGAGCTGTATGCATCCGGCTCCCAGACGTGGATCCTCAAATGCCCCCACACATGACAGAGCTGTGACTCAGCTGTCAGTGGATAGATCCAGGTTTCACCATTTTCTTATCATCACCACTCAGATTCACATCAAAAGAGCCAAGAAAGCTATCTGTGAAACCCTGATTGCAAACACCTGCTGAGGACCACGCCAGGACAACGGTGTTATCGAAGTTTTCATCTACTTCCAACATTGAACCATTCGCATTTTTACAAATCAGCACAGAAATCCTATGCTGTCCCTGAAAGCACTGACAGTCTCATCCAGACCACTCTCCTTCACAGTCATGCTGGACCACCAAGGCACTCCAGGGTGCCCAAAGGGCCTGGAGTGGGTGGGACCCACACATGGCAAGAAGTCATGTCTCCAGCAAGCGCCAACTCCAGCAGAGCTCCACATTTTCTGCTCATTGACACAAATGAGCAAAGCGTAAGACTGATTGGTAATCTGACACTTAAGACTTCTGGGAGAGGGCTGGCAGAATGGCTCAAGTGGTAGAGCACCTGCCTAGCAAGTGTGAGGCCCTGAGTTCAAAGACAAAAAAAAAAAAAAATTCCTGGGAGGCAGCCCCCCCATCAGTATATGGCACGTGAGGTTTTTCTTGGCATGGCTGTGTTCTGATGAAGCACACCCAGAACAGATCCAGGGGAGCCCATGTCCCAGCTCAGGAAGCCCCGCCACTCAGGAGATCCTCCTCATTCCTTGGGGTTGTCATAGTCTGGGACTTCCCGGAGCCCTTCACTGTGGCGGACCCGCCCACTGGCCTCCAGCAGGATCTGGGTCTCAGGATCCACATCCAGGATGCTCTTCTTGCCCTTGGCCTTCGGAAGAAGGGAAAGAGGGGTGTGTGTTCATGTGTGCACAGAAAGGTGAGCAGCCCCCAGTAACCAGGACCAAGCAGCGACGTCCTGCTAGTGTTCCAGCCTGAGTGGAACCAACACTCCACGGCTCCACGAGGAGCCCATCCCAAGTCACTCCCATGCTGGGAAGCAATCCAGGGGGTTCACAAAGTGTGAGCGGTGCAGAGGGCCCAATATGACTTACTGAACGGCAGACTAGGGAAGCACAGGAACCCAGACTTTCTGGTCTCACAGAGGGGAAGGGAGGGTGCAGGGTCTCCCAGCCCACCCAGGTGCACACCTCAGGCAGGTCCCTGCTTCCCAGGATGGCTCTACTAAACCACCCAACTGTGCTGAGCATCTACCAGTACCCTCAGAGGCAGCAGCAGCTGCCAGACAGACATGTGGACAAACTGTCAGGTGAAGCCAAGAGATGGTGCCAGGTCCCTCGTGTGGGGTATAGGACAGCATGGCACTCACCAGCTGTGTCTCTGGGGGGTCTCCAACTCCCCACACCTCTATCTTGTCAAACCGGAAGTCCTCCTTGGCAGACAACTGCGGGCTGTTGTACGTGGTGCACCTGGGCTTGGCCTTGCTGTGTCCTTTCCCGAAATCAGCATCTACCCAAAGCCCGAAGTAACCGTGCTGCCCACCCATGCCCTGCGGAGGAAGCCGAGACAGAGCTGAGCAGCGACTTGATGCAGGGAATGTCGCGTGCCACAGGCCTGGCCTTGCCTGAGAACAAGCCCAGAGCGGGTAGGGAGGGGCGCACCTGTAATCCCAGCTCTCAGGAAGCTGAGGCAGGAAGATCAATAGTTAGAGAGAAGCCTGGAGTATAAAGAACCTGCCCCAAAAAATATAGGGGGAAAAAAAAAAAAACACCAGCCCAAGGTGGAGAGGAAGCATAGTGAGGGCGACATTTTTCTCTGGAAAGATTCGCTGCTAAGTGCCTGTTCTGACCTACTGAAACAGGCACCTCCCAAGGTATGATGGAACACAGTGAGAGAACAAGCTGAAAAACAGACACTCAGGGCCCAGACCATTAAAGTTAGAGACAAGTGACCACAAGCAACCCTGGAAAGCCTGTCCATGCCAGCATCCCCACCCCCACCAGCCAGGGACTCTCACCCTTAGGCAGCCAAGGAACTGAGCTCATAGCACGTGACTGCACAATCAGCTGTCAAGAGAGAGAAAGGCAGAGAACTGGAGAGGGAAAACTTGAACCCTTCTCTTTTTGTCATGTGGTCCCACTGCAGGCTCTAGGCCAGCTTTACCTCACCTCACTGACATCTTTCTCCTGACACTGCTCCCCAGTGGGCCTGGAGCACTTGGCACAGTCTGGTTCTGACTTGGGGCAGGAAGAGACCCATGCATATGTCTGTATTCCCCTGGGGCCACTTCTCCTCCAGTCAAGGACAGGCAGTTCCTGGGGACCTGTGGGTGCTGCTTCCAAGGCTGAAGGCCTTGCCCATTCTGGGAGGTTTCTGGTGTCCTGGTGGAGGGGAGAGGGCCCTCCCCTCCCACTTCCCATGGCAACAGCGTGGGCAGCACGCTTGTCCTCTCTAGCTGGACAAGCACAGGACCAGAAGATTCTTATCAAAAAGCAGAAAGAAGAGACAGATGGCAGACACAGCTCTTACCTGAACCGAGCATCCACTGGGGGGTGCCCGCCCTCCACACCCAGCCAGATGGGCCTGTGTCCACGTAACATTGGCCTCTACCTCTTCCTCTCCCTCCCGTGGCTGATCACAAAGCCAAAGTGAGCACCTAGCAGGAGCACCATCACTCCAGCTGGAGCCCCACATACTGGTTCATAAGCTGCCACCAAACCTGTCCCAGTGGTCCAGGTTCCCCAGTCAGAGTCGCACGCCCTAGCTCAGTGCTCAGGCCTGAGGCAGGGAAGTAGTACCTAGTTACAGGTCTGCCACCCACACTTCTCGGGCTATGGAGGACACAAGCCAATCATTTGGGAGCCAGGAAAAAGTGCCCGCTCACTGTTTGCACACAAGCCGCAGAAAAGCCCAGTAGATGCCACTGCCCTTCCTAAGGGAGACATTGCCCCTTTGTCAGGCTCCCAGCACTGAGACCAGAGCAGAAGGGACAGACACCATTTGCAGAGCCAAACGGTGCGCCACACTCACGCTCGGCTGGTGGAAGGTAGGCATCAGGCTGCACCTGGCATGCACACTACCCAATGCCCTCTCCAGCTCCTCACCAGTCCATTTGGGATGGTCTGCTGTCCGTGGTTCAAGTACATGTAGTGGTCATTATAGCCGGTGTGCATGTACACAGCCATGCAGGGGGCGATGGAGAACAGGAAGCACTTGTTGTCCCCTGGAAGTGACAGAGAGCAAAGCAAACAGGGTCACTGTGTCTGAGCCAGGTACAGAGCAGCAAACGCCAATGGTCTTTGGCTCAAAGGACCAGCAGCCAGGACTTCTCATCCTTCTCCAGGTGTGCGCTCCTGGAGTTAGCATCTTGGGGATCAGTGGGTGGGTCACAGACCTCATACAGAACAAGTCTGACAGTTGCCTAAGGGACCTGGGCGGCTGAGCTGTGAAAATGACCAGGCTAAAATGACATTTTGGGGGACATCTTTTAGCTCTGGCCCTGGAGTGCTCAGATCAGAACTCTGCCCACTGTTTGTTGGTATCAGTTCAGGCTGGCCAGGGACATCGAAGTCAGAAAGAGTGGGTCTCCTTTCAACTTATGAGTGTGAGGGTGGGCAGCCATCCCCGGATGCTGATGGCTCTACAACAGCTGACCCAAGCTCACACGTACCTCAGTGTAGAGCTGTCCCCCACCTAGTAGAATGCGCTATCCAGGAGAAAGAACACCTGCAGACTGCTGGAAAGGTGACATATGGTGCACACAGGCCACTCAGAGAAGGGCCCCAGCCAAAGCCCGGGAATGAGCGGGGTCCTTGGTTAGAGACCCCAGCATGCCACAGGTGCATTCGTCACAAGGGACAGGGAAGACAGAGACCAGACTTGACTGCAGGGAGCTCCCACTGAGGGAACCACAGGAGACACGCACCCCAGTGTTCTGAGGGCTAGACCTGAAGGAACGTCCACCTTGATACTGGTGTCCCAAGATGCCTGTGGCTCTTGGCCCCAGAGCTGACCAAGGAAATGCTAATGGGAACTGAGGGCCAGGCGTTCACTAGGTGGGAAGCAAATCAGCAAAAAGCTGGTCGGGAGCTCAAATATGCAAGGCAGGTATGAGAGGGCACTCGAGGCCCAGGGGAAACTGGGGAGGGCGTGGCCCTGACCAAGCAGACAGGGTCTGAACCAGCAGTGCATAGGCCAACAACTCCCAGGCCTCAAATCCAGACAGATGTAGTCTGGTCACAGTCAGGAGACCGACCCATGCAAGGACAAAGCCAGGCCATGCAGGGATAGCAGGGCCCTTCAGTCACACTGAAGGGTGTCTGAGCACCCAGGTGGGGGAAGGACTAGAAAGATCACCTAAGCAACGCAGTGTAGGGCTTTCTGAGCACCAGTGGACTTAAGCATCTCCAGAAGACTAAGGGCAGTTTCTGACAGATGGACAGCACAGCCCCACCCCGCCTCCAGCCTCCAGGAAACTGAGCTTCACACAGAAGTGTCGCTTTGCTTTGTCATCTTATTATTACATAGGACACGCTTATTGGACCAGACATCAGGTGTGGGCCCACAGTGAGGTCCAGCCCTGGTCTGCCCACAGTGAGGGAGCTTATGGGGCACGTTACTGTTCAGGACATAGGGGTGGGGACCCAACAAGTCATTCCCACCTGCCAAAAAGCTAAGCCCCTTGCAGATTATCACCACAACAGCAGTAGACCACAGTACCAGCTCCTCAAACCACCTGCAGCCAACTGTTCCCAGCCACTTACCTACACAGCGCCAGGATGTGGGGCCTGGAGAACAGAGGTCCAGAAAAGTAGCCATGGTCCAGAGCCTGGACCCAAAGTCCTGTCTGCTCAACCCAAAGCCCGGGGCCTTGGTGACCAAACAGAACACACACAGAATGCAAACTGCTTACGGCTGAGCACCTCAGAGCCCGGAGCTACTGGCAGGACAAATGGACACAACCCTGAGGCTGGCCAAATCCACGCTGGACCACCTGCAGGGCAAGGCCGCCCTCTGCTGGAGCCTCCTGCTCATGTTTCAGAGCAGGAGGAGGGTAAGTGTGGGAACTCAATAAGCCATGAGACCCAGCAGAGCAAAGCCGAGGCGGTACACAGACTGGGGAGGAACAGGTTTTATCTGTGATCACGATGCTCAGAGCCTGTGAAATCCTAGGGCATGGCCCCAAGTGGGTTGAAGTGCCCATTCCTGGGGCACTGTGCCAGTGTGCAGAGCGGAGAGTACTGTCTCCAGAAAGTCCTGCCTACAAGGCCGACTGGCACCGGGAACTTGGATTTGGGAAGGGTTCCTCCATTCCCAGAGCTACATTAAAGATCTAGAGCATTCTGAAACCTGGAAACAAGTCAAATCCTAGAAACAGCCTGATCTAGGGGACAGAGGCACCAAGCCTGCACCTGTGGGTCTTCCCCCAATCCCAGCCACCTGTGCACACACAGGTCCCTGGCCCCTAGCCTCTCTGCCTGACAAAAGAAGATAAGCGATTCCAGAGGTGCTGGCATGACTGAGCCCTACAGGGAAACGTGAGAGTGTACCTGGTGAAGGGTGGCCCGCCTGTGACCTAGGATGCAGCCTCTGCCGGGAGGCGAGCCTAGTAAACGGCCTTGCAGGACCACACATCAGAAGAGCATTCTTGGAGGGAAGGGCTGAACCAACTAGGCCTTTCCTCTCATACACTCAAGGTCATGCAAAGAACTTTCACATCCCACACAGTCACAAAACCCAAAGAAAAGGGAGCAAAGCAAACACATATTACAAGGGGGGATGGCCGGAAGGAGGGTTCAGTGAGCAGAACATCCATCTGAAGGAGGTCACATCTCCCCAGCCCACTAGGGCATCTGTGGCCCATCTTCCTGGACGCATGGAGCCCTGACACTTCTGGAGATACTATGCCTCTGTGCCACAGCTGAATGCCAGGTGTTGACCCCCTCTTTTTTATCCTACTACCAAGACCAAAAGAGGGATCTGTGATACCACAAGCCACACTAAGGAAGTGTCACGCTCACCAGCCCACCATTCCCCAACTATGCAGGGGGCTGGGGGAACCGGAAAGGGTGGGATGACCCCTTTTCAGTGCTTCTGTGCTGTCACCATGGTGGGCATCTGACCAGCACTCCTCACGGAGCTGTGCCACCCCTCGGGGTTTGGGGATCCAAGTCTTACCTTGAAACTGAGGCTTGACCTCCCAGGAGCAAGAGGCAAAACCACCAAACACATGTCCATCGTGGTCCTCGAGGATGGCCAGGCAGGGACCCTGGTGTGTAATGCGCCCACAGAGCTGAGAGAAGCTCTGCCCATGGAGCTGGGAGGAGAAGAGCAGGCGCCAGCAGTGCCGCTGTTCCCTGGCCAGCTGCGAGTTGAGGTAGATGACTGAAAGCACGTCCAGAAAGCTCTCAAATTCCCTCCCCTGCTCCACCTGGCACGCAGGGACCAGTGTGGCCAGATCAAGGGATGAGCACAGGACAAGAAAGCCTCTGTGGATGACCACGCTCAGAAATGTGGTCACATGGGGGACCCGGAACACCCAGTCCTCGATCATGGCTTGGTCGCAGTCATGGTCCAAACACTGAGGCCCCCGAAACCTCTGGCCATCTAGAGAAGGGGAATTCAGTGTTACCAGGGCTCCCAAGTCCCTTACAGTGACTTTCCAAGCCTATGTTGATCAATGCAGGAGCCACAAGTCACCTGTGACTGTGGAACTTAACAGGTGACTTGTCTGAACCCAGATGTGCTATAATTTCAAACACATGGCATGAAAAGACTGTAAAATATCTTGCTAACTTTTATATTGATTGCATGTTAAAATGTATTTGGATATGTAATTAAAATTAACTTCACTTATTTCTTTTTACTGCTTTAATATGGTCACTAAAAAAGATTTGAAATTTTACATGAGGCCAGCCTTATTTCTGCTGGCCAATCTGATTTAAACAATTCAACTTTGACACCCACTCCACGAAGCATCTCAGAGGCCCATGAGACAGCCAAGCCCTTACAAGGAGGCCCAGCCCCAAAACACCTCGAGAATTGACACCTGTGAGGGCTACCCCAAAACTACCCATCTGAGACTTTCTGCCACACACGTGTGAGAAGGCCGTAGAGGTGATCGGTGGCCAGGGTGTTATGGTACCTCTCTAGTCTGGGAAGAATGGGGCTCATCAACTGTCGATTACACTTGTTTCCATCTCTAACCCACAGAGTGGAGGTGACTGGGCAGTAGTATCATAGGACACTCTTGGGACTTAACTGACCTCAGGGTCCTCGTGTGTAAACTGGAGGTAATGCCAGAATGCGCTCATTTGGTTGTTACAAGGATGAGAGGGGCTTTCGTGTTCACAGACGACATGCAAAGTCTCCACTGACAGCTATTAATTCCCAACCCGTGGAAACTTGAATCCAAACTCAAATAAAAATGTCTTCTCTAACTTAGGCCCATTCATTTACAGGAAATATAGAAATTCTACTTCCCAACTTCTGTGATGTTGCAAAACTCCTATCATTTCTAATCAAGTTATTTTTCAAACACCTTTCACTCCTCATATTTGTGTAACACTTAAAACCCTAACAATCATTTTAGCTGACCCGTTTCTACTTAAATGACAACTTAAGAGTTCTGTTTTTGAGCCGGGGCTGGTGGCTCACGACTGTAATCACAGCTACTCAGGAGGCAGAGATCAGGAGGATCGTGGTTTGAAACCAGCTCAGGCAAACGGTTCACGAGACCCTATCTCAAAAAACCCATCACAAAAACAGGGCTGGTGGGGTGGCTCAGGTGACGGCCCCGAGTTCAAATCCCAGCACCACAAGAAAAAAGAAAATTCAACTTTTGATTCTTCTTTTTAAAAACACTGACTTTAGGCCGCCTAACAGCTCCCCATGGATAAAATGCTGGTACATGTGTTTTTTCTTCCCAAGCTCCAAATATCTTGGGAATATATCAATTTTTTAAATAGAACTGATCTTACACACCATTTAAGGTCTAGCTTTATAATAAAAAGTGACATGTTTGTAAAGTGTCTACTTGGCAAAGAGAGTCATCACAAGGTCTTCTTAAAAATCTCAAACTCAAATATATCATCAAAAATATCATAAATGATCATTTATCATCCAGCGATAGCAAAATACATGCTTCTCCAGTGGACACTGAGCGTCACCAAAGTGCACCTAATTATAAAAGATGCCTGATGAATTTTAAAGCACTGAGATCATGCCCTCAACCAGAGTGGGATGAAATTAGAAATCGGTAGCAGAAGGTGACTTGAGGAATTTGCAAGCATATACAATTGAGAATTCTGAGAAGCCGTTGGGCCAGAGAAGAAATCAGAAGGCACAATGAAAAGTGTGAAGATCGTGAAAACAAAAACATATGGAAACTGACGGGATGCAGCTGAAGCCGCATCAGTACCGACACTGAAGAGGCTCTCAAACCAGTGATCTGACCCTCCACCTCAAACACAACGAGGAGACAAAACTAAGTCTAACACAAGCAGGAGAAAATAAGTGAAATAGACCAGAAAACAAAGTTGACTCTGAAAAAAAAAAAATCAATGAAAAAATGGGAAACCTTTAGCTAGAAGAGGGGAGGGAAGAGAGGAAGGGAGGAAAGGAGGGAGGGAGGGAGGCAGGGCAGAAAGGAGGAGAGGGAGGGAGAGAGAATCGAATTATTCAAGTCAGAAATGGACATGCTTTTACAGAAGCAAGAATCATAAGGAAATTCCATGAACATCAGACCAAGACTGGAGACTGGCACTTCCTGGTTTCAGAGTAATGGAGATGGGGTGCCACTGTAGGACCCTAAGGTCTAAGTCAAGGAGCACACTTGGGCACTTGCCTTGAAGTCTCATCTCCGAGAGCAGTTGGGCAGCCAGCACCTGCACCCTGGCGGGGGGACCTGCAGTTTTCTTCCGAGTCCAGCCTCTCAGCTCTTGCCTGTGGGTTAGCACGTGCACCACAGCGCTGACCAGATCCTCTGTGAACTTGAAGACCACAAGACCATGGTTAAGCACTCCCGTGCTCTACACCGTACCATGTGGAGGAGGGAAATTTTCATCTCTTTGATAGAGCACGGTGTCAGACAAGATTCCAACCCACGGTCACCATTCTTCCAAAGACACACTTGGGTGGCCTAGACATTTTGCCAAAGCCTTTGTCCATGAGTTCTGACCCTTACCAAACTCTCCTGGTTGAGAGACCCTGAGGCTGGACATCCTCACGATGCTACCATCAGCTACATCACTGTCCCCAGCCCCCCACCCAAGGACACCAAGCCTGCCCAAGAGGCCCCTCTACCTTCTGGACTTGTCTGGCTTTCACCGGCCCCTCCGTGGCAGAAATCATTTTCAGAATCACGAGACTTTTCTCCTCAGAGTTCCCTTTCAGCAGGTGGGACATGGACACCGTGAACTGCTCCCGGGAGACGCCCTGGCTGGGCCCCTGTGCCCTCCCTGTCAGGTTGACTCTCCACATACCATTGTACAGTCTGGTGACCATCTCTGGGGGAAGAGCTTCCCCAACGTGGCTCTGTTGGGGACAAGTAGGAGAAAAGGCTGGACAGGGTGAAAGTTCAACCTGGCAGTATCACAGGGAAATGAGAGGGGGACCACGACCTGCCACTGCTCCCTGGGCTCTCCTGGCAGCCATGTGACCATCTCCCCACTGGAGGACCCACATGCTAAAAGTGTGCTCAGCTCATCTTGGCCATCAGACCCTTCCAATCTGGTACCAGGCTGCCCTCTATTTTCCAGTGTCCACACATTGGCCATGTCTCTCCTGTTTCTACTGTCACCTCCCTGTCTGCTTATGTCATTATGGTTACTAGAGTCTCACAGCTGCACATGCCTGTCTGAATTTACAAACAGGTGTGACATGTCTGTAGAGAGCCACTATGGTCTCTATATGGAGGATCCCTAGCCGTGTTTGATAGCTCTTACTTCTTATCTCAATTCTTTGTGCTCAGTGTGTGTTTTTAACTAATTTTACTGATTCTTAGTAACACTTGGGCTCCAGCATCAAGTGTGGTTTGGGCCAGGATGATGACTAAGAGGAAAGAGCACGTTAAGTCACAGACTGCACACGTCCTGCAGGGCAGGGTCTGAGCACTCCTTTGTTCTCTGGCAGCTGCCTATGTGCTCATCATGACACAGATACTCTGTGACTCTTAAGGGTGCAGGCTCAGACCTCACACCCCAGAGGGGCCTCCTACCTTGTCAGTGTTTCCACAGACCTGTTGCACAGCAGCCTCTAACTCCTCCCTGAACAGGGTCTCAGTAGCCAAAGTGTTCTGGGTAGCTCTCATCCCCGGTGTCCTGCTAAACACTCATGGCCTTGCCATCCAATCTGCAGGCAGGGCGTCAGCTAGCATCTCTGGTCTGTTTGCCATAGTTGTGTGTGCCCCAAGCCCACTGGGTACTCCTGGCCTAGAGGTGACATGTGCACAGGTATACATATGTATACCTCCTTGGCCAGTTAGTTTCCTCATATGTAAGTGAGCATCAGAGAACCCAACGCCCCCATCAGCTGCTATTCTGCACGGTCTAGAAGGCTTCAGAATGCCTTCTCAGACTGCCCCCTCCCCTGCTCACTACACAAGCTGACGTTGGTGCTGCCAGTGTCCTGTGTAGCCTGAGCCCTTGGACATGAGTTGCGTGTCCCGTGGAACAGGGCAAAAACATGGGGAAATGAGCCACCTTAATGCCTCAAAGGTGAACTTGGGGGTGAGAGTCATTTTGTGTTAGGCCCATCATAAAATTCCTAGACATCAAACACAGGAGGCCAAATGAACTCTAGACACAGGGTCACGGGAGGCACTAAGGCATCCAGATTGCCACCCAGTCTCTAGAAGGGAAGTCAGGAGACAGGGGCCGCCCCTCTGGTGTCGTCTCACAAACCCCACAGTGGTCATGATCCACTCCAAGTTCCTTTCTTTAGTACAGCTAGGACACTGTACTGATTTCAAACCAGGGAAAGTCTCGGACAGCTGTGATTCATGGCTACTTTCCACAGTCCAGTGGGAGAGCGGAGGAGCTATGACGGTGACCACATAGCCTGCAAAGCCCACAAGCCAGAAGTAGGGACCATGCAGCCCTCCACAGAAAGTCAGCTTTTCAGTGTTAATAGGCTCAAGGGTCACAGTTTGCACACCCTGCTCCCCACTCCACACTGAGGGCTGTCACTCTTGCCTTCAGCGCCTGCAGAGAGAAGGACCTGGGTGAGGTCTCCGAGTTGTGTCTATCTGATGACAAAGCGTCAAACAAGCCATCGATCTCTGCCTGCTCCTTGGGAAGAAACTGTGAGCGAAACTTGGGTCTCGACAGGCTCTGGCTGTTCCCCATCTCTACTTGCGTCTCAGAGCTCTGCAGGAAGAAAAGACATGAGTCAGAGGGAAGTCAACATGACGTGTGTCATCGCAGAGAGAAGTGCTGTAGTCATATGGCCAATGAGCACTCACTCCACTGAACCGCACCCTGGATCTAGAATATGTTTCAGTGTGGTGGGAATCAATCCTGGATACAGATAAAGCAAGGCCTCATCCTGATTACCAGATCTTCCGAAGTCTCTCAGAACCGTCAAGCTGGCTGCATTGCCTTGCTTGAAAACATGGCAATGATGCTAACATCACTAAAAGGTGAAGGAGGGAAGGCATCTCCATTTTAACCAAGCTTATATTCCCTTTTAAAACATTTGAGTTGAAAACTGATTTGATTGTGCAGGACTTGAGAAAAACGTCGAACCTAAAACCACTGCCAATGCAGGAGACCCTGTCTATGCAGCAGGGGACACTGCCCGTGTAGATGAAGACACTGCCTATGCAGCAGACCCCACCTATGCAGCAGGAGACACTGCCTTGCCTGTCAGAGGTGTTGGAGGGGCATCAACAGAGACTGGTACCCAAGAGCAGGTGACCCAGTGCCCTGACTCACTGTTATAGACCTCATTACTGAGTAGAGGCCAGGTGTCAACATACAAGATTCAAACACGGACAGCATGGTTGGAGAAGATTTAAAAAAAAGAGAGAGAGTGAGAGATTTTTAAGCACTGGCTTTACCCCCTCTCCTGGCTTTGTGCAGACTGCATTGATGAGCTTGCTTGGCTAGTGCTCCGAGCTGTCAAGACAGGCTGAACTGCTTCATTTGAGAGCACAGTGCCATAATGATGTAACTAAGTGTGTGTGTGGGGGGGGGGTCCTCCATTTTAATCAAGCTAAATATCTGCTTTTTAAAAAACTTGAATTGAAACTTCCCTAAGGCAAGGCAACTTGGTAAACTGAGTCAGTGCCACAGAAAATAATCCCCCAGGAGGTCAAGCCCAGGGAAGGGCACTTCCCAGCAGGCAGGGTCCCCATCAGGACATGAGTGTCTAAACCCTTAAGCAAAGCAGGTGCAGGCTAGACCTTTCTGTCTTTCCTCTAACGATGTGAGTCCCCTAACACATCACTAGCCATTTTACAATGTGCCATTTGGTAGGACGAAGCACATGCACCATGTTGTCAACCACTAGCTCTACAGAGTTCTGAAATACCGTCACTCCCCTCATGGGAAAACTGTACCCACTGGCACTCATTTATGTCCCTCTCCCCAGTTCCTGGCAACCAGTAATCTACCTTCTGTCTCTATGTGTTCGCTCTCTGGGCATTTTATGGAAGTAGAATCACATAATACATGGCCTGGGCCTCACTTTGCATCCAGCACCATGACTCTGAGGCTTATCCGTGTGGTCGCGTGTATCAGTCCTTCACTCCTTTGTATGGCTGTTTTCACTGTATGGACACACATTTTGTTTTCCCATCAGTGACTGGCAGACATCTGAGCTGCTTCTATCTTTTGGCCATCGTGAATAGTGCTGCTGTGAATGGGTGAGTACCCGAGTCTCTCTTTTCACATTTCTGAGGTGGACACCTAGCAGTGGAGTTGTTAGACCCTGTGGAAACTCCACATTTTGGGGAGCTGCTAGACTGCTGTCTCCTTCACAGTCCCGCCAGCACAGCACAAGGTCCTGGTTTCTCCATATCCTTGCCCACACTTGTTCTTTCTGCCTTTTTTATTTTTGTCATCCTCACAGGGATTCCACCTTTGACACTTCACTGCTAAAGTGCCCTGAAAGCAAGAGCCCAGCAGAGGGCTCCTTGGGGCATAGCGCATAAAGCAGGCTGAAAACGAGGCCACCCAACCCAACTCAGGGCTGTCACTCTGATCTACTTGCTTGCACTCCTCGAGTTTCTAACATGCAGAAAGCCAAGAAGGAAAACTCCAACCCCAGGCTCCACATCCAGCTGCACAAGGCTGTCCTGGTCTCTAAAGAAGACAGGCTGCACCAGCCGAGTCCCGTCCCTCCAGGGACCCAGCAAACAACCACACCACGCAGACCAAGGGGCACAGGGTGGGCCAGAGTTGACACCTCAGCCCTAAGAAACAACATTGTCTTTTAGGGCTCGATCAGGAGATGAGTCTTACTGAGTTTTAGGCTGGAGGGGGAAGGCTGATCAATGGACACACTTTCACAGTCAGGGAGGAATCCTACGCACAGTAGGGTGACTACAGTTAACAACAACAGTGCACAGTGCACATCAGATGGCTACAAGAGTAGACTGAATGTTCTCGCTGTGAAGAAATGCTGAATGTTTAAGGTGATAAATATGATAATTACGCAGAGTAGCCCACTCAGGGATTACAGATTCTGTGGTTTATTTAAGAAGCCGACCCACACTTACTGTGCTGGAGGCACTAATAAGCATCCTGAGACCGTGACAGGAGAAACTGCAGTGGAAACTGTCAGCACCTGCTGGCTAAAGACCGCAGTGGTGGCACCAGGCCTGTAGCAGAGCTGTAAATGCAGCTTGTCTGTAGACAAGGGTGTGGGGAGGGACTCTAATGGACCCGTGGCTGTCTCGGGTGTTGTGGGAAGGACTCAGAAAAGGGAAGGCTGACTGTGGACGGGGACTAGGTATCTGAATTTTCATCTAAAATGCAGGAGCAATACAGAAGAGCCAATGTGATCGTTCAGAAGGAAATATGACATCCATGTTTATAGGGAGAGGGACACCGGGTTATCTGGGCAGCCTGCATGGTGGTCTTATTTTTGCTCTGCTCTGCACTGGGACCCTTGAGCGATGCTGCCATGGTAGGAGTGTATCTGTGATCCACAGGAGAGCCCTGCACCCCACGGTGGCACAGGCTGGCCACCAGCGGACAAAAGACGCCAAGTACCAAAGCCATAGGTGACCTGGAAACCCAGATGGCTGCTGCTTTACCTGCGTTTCCTGGAAGTCATGACAACTGTAACCAGATGTGATCTCAGCATCTTATTTTTTGCCCTTCCTGGAGAAATTCAAGACTTTCTCAAAAATTTACCAAATCATCAAAACACTTGTCACAGAGTTCTCCCTCACCCCTAGCTCATTGTTCTGCGGAAATCTTGCAAATGGTAAATGCACAAAAATGTGCTAGGGGCATTATACGTCACCCCTAGGCTGGGCTTCACCCAAAAGCACACTTTGCACTTCCAGAAAATCTGAAGGCTGTGACACAGAATGCCGCCACTCACCCCTCGAAGACTACAGGGATGCATACACAGAGGTTAGAGTCCCGGGCTGGACCTTAGGGTGGCTGGTGGCCAACCCCACCCCAGGCAGGTCCCCAGGGTTGGGGTCTACTTGGGTATCAGAAGACAGTTCTCGAGGGCAGCTTCCTGCCTTCTTCCCTCTGGCTCAGAGGCCTCACCTCTCCATCTTCCTCAGCCTCTGGTTTCCAGGACTGGTTGGCATTGCCCACGACACCCTGGGTGCCACCCAAGCCCTCCCAGCTCACGCTGCTCAGACCCCATGCCATCTTGACCCTCTATGACCATGAACTTGGTTGTGCTGGACCAGCTAACTCCAACACTACTCCAGCAGGTGGCCCCAGGCTGGCTTCTTCCCTCTCTACCCAGAGGTCACCTCCTTGCAAGGCACCCCTGACCACCCACGCCCAGGAGCACCCTGCCTGTCTTCGTCATCCTCCTTTAACCTTCCATCAGGACACCCAGTCTCCCAACCCCCAGCTCTTCCCTAATCCACACCAAACGCCCCACTCGTATCTGAAGGTCACAAAGAGGACTTTGCTCCATGGCCATATGCCTAGTGTTAGAGCCTGAGGCAACTAGACATGTGTGCTGAACGGCTGTGTGTGGTCCCCTCCCAGGACATGGCTGCCTTGTGGGCTCCCCTAAGTGAGTTCTCTGAGCCCAACCCAGACTGGTCCTTACAAGCAGGCTGGGCTCCCCTAGGCCTCAGTCCATTCCCACTCTACACATCAGGAGCTCGAGGGGTCAGAACCAATCACCCGCACTCACTGTCTACCCCTGCTCAGGAACAGCCTCCAGGATGTCCTCGTCTGCACAGCTGCAGCCCGCCAGCACCCGGCCATGGTGGGGAACAACGAAATTATTTGCTAAGCCGCTCTGCTTTGAGAAGAAAACAAGCCCAGAGCCACCCACAGCAGCTGGCAGCAAGGACAGCTGATGTCACCTCTGCCTCCTTCAACAAATGAGGCCATCCCATGCCGCACCTCAGATTCCCAAAATCCTGGAAGCTTTCTGCTCAAAACAAAGACATCACTCTGCCAGGGACACAGGCTAAAGGCCACCAAGGCAACAGTGCACCCTGGGTTGTGCCACTAGAGGCCATTGGTCCCACTTCCTCAGGATACTTGGCTTCCTGATGTCACTATTTCAATAAATGTCAGTCCTCCTGGGCCAGGCCCCACAGAGACAGCACAGTCGGGACTCAGGGGTCTATGCAAATAAGGCACACGAACACCAGGAGCCAAAAGTGTAAAATATCCCCAAGGGTACACTCCAGTTGAGTCTTTAGGGACCCCAAGTGGCCCACCTAGCAAGTGGGGACAGTGCAGGAGTGACATGCTGACAGCAAGGTGAGGCTTGGCATGAGTGAAATAAAGGCATGTGAAGACGGGGAGCAGAGGGGGCTACAGAGGACGGGCACCCTCCACCCCACCCTCCTTCCCCAGAACCAGGCTCCTCCACTGTACACTGAGCTCAGCAGTCCTGTGCAGCCCAGCCAGATCTCAATGGAGCCCCAACTGGCTATAAGAAAGGAACAGGGCTGGGCAAGCCACTAACAGGAAAGATAGGAGGGCAAGAATATATGGGTAGGGTGCAAACAGCAGTGAGGGCGGGGAACAGGGCAGGACCAATAGAAACCACCAGGAGAGACTCAGAGCAGAGCCCATCTGGCAACACTGGTTCTGCAAGGTGGAGGGAGTAGGGCAGTGGCCACCAGTAGGAGGACATGACTAGAGTAAATGACAGAAGGAGGCACAGCTGCCCCAAGAACACAGCCCTGTCCCTTGCATCACCGTCCCCATTCCTAAGGGTCACTGGTGAAAGGACACATCACAGATTAACTCAAGGGACATCCTGACTTTTACAGCCCCTGCAAGCAACAGGACACAGGACTGCAGAGTCAATCCCTCCTGCCTCCACCTCTTTACTCAGGCCAGGAATCTCCCTCATCAGTCCTAGGGAAGCAAGGCCTTTGCTGTATCCTTTCCAAATGCCAGCTCCCTGTCAAGCATTCAGTCCTACCAAGTTTGCCTGATGTGGCCGGACTTCTATGGGTACACCCTGGTACAGGAGACAGCCCTCTTCTGGCAAGTTACCTGCATCGAGCCTCTTTGGGGAGGTCACCCCCAACGTCACTTTAAGAAAGCACATTCAGATCTCTTGTACCCGTGGGTCTCAACTGGGGGCAGTTTTGTACCCAGAGGACATTTGACAGTGGTCAGAGACATTTTGGTTATCAGAACTGAGGAAGGAGAGTCCTGCTGGCATTCAGTGTGCTGAGGTCAGGACATGCCTCACAACAAGGAAGTATCCAGTCCCAAATCTCAGTAGTACTGAAGGTGAGAAACCAGGGCAGGGTCAGGCAGGAGGTAACACCCTGAAGGGCACGGACAGGCAAGCACTTGCCGCTCTCTGCACAAGGCCAGGCTCTGCAGTGACGGCATAAGCAAAGATGGGCAGATTGAATTTGCATTGTGACTTGTTTTTTAGGACAATGGGCAAGTTACTACATTATTTTTGAACCTTCATAAGACAAAGAGGATCAGCAGCCCATAAGTGACCAAGATGCTTTGCTCGTCACACTTTAGTCAGACCCTAAATCCATCTGTGCACTTCCTTGTAAAATTCAATTTTAGCAATAGCCTCAATATCTGATCATCTTGTGAGCCAACCAGGTTCTTCATCCTCTACCCCCAGATGGCATCTGATAACACTGGCCTGCTGTTGGCAAGAATTCAGATAGGTCAGGCTAGCCAGCATCTCCCATAACTCTGACACTCTCTGGTAGTCACTTCCCTCCACTGACCCCCACCCACCCTGCTCCTCGGCTATATTATATATATATCCACTTGCCCATGATGGATCTAGGGCAGAGCCCAGCCCCTCTCCCCCACTGCAAAATCCCAGTGCCCTGTTCCTATACCTACAGCCATCGTCTTGAATGAGGTCTGCCTTAACATGCTTTAACAAGTGTCAGAGAATAATTTCCTTTAATACGAAGTTAGAGGATTGGATAAAGTAATCCAGGGCATTTGATTTTGCTTTCCAGAGGCCAAAGACAGAAACAGATGGGCCCAACACAGGCGAAAAATGCTCCTTGAGTTCTTATCTTGGAACAAGGGTAAGCGCCCTGCTCAGAAGGAAGGGCAGCATATTCTGCCTCTGGGGAGGCAGTTGGGGAGCCTTCCTGACTGTAATGAGGCTGCTTGAGCCTGGGAAAGAAGCTCCTGCTGGCCCCAGACGAGCTCCTACCCTCCCTCATCACAGGGCACCAGCCTGGAACGCCTTCCTCTCAACCTTGGCCGTGAATTAGATTAGCTTCACTGCTCCTGAACAAGCCCACTCGTCCCAATACACGTGGGACGACCTCCACAAGCTCCCTCTCCAGTATATACCCAGCCGCCTCATCCCACAGATGCATCCTTTCCTTCCCCCATTTCTGCCAGCTCTCTTTCGTTGCTAGGCCTTCCGGACAGGTGATGTCATCCCCAGGAACCTTCTTATCGTGACCACACAGCAGGCCTGGTGCTCCGGAGGACGTCCCTCCAAGCCGTTCCCCTGCCCCCGCCTCCCTGGGGCCCAAAGAGGCGGGCAGCCGGGGAGGAGCAGGGCCCAGGCCCACTCCGTACCCCGTCCGCTCCCACCTGCACGCCAGGCCTAGCCCAGGACCAAGCGCCTCCCCTCAGCTCACCACCGCACCGACCCCACACTGCCTTCCGGTCGGTGGGTCCCAGGCCTTTTCCCTTCCCAGCCGCCCCTGCCGGTCCGTTCCCTGGCAACGGCGTTGACAGGCGGTCATGTGCCCCAATCGCGAAAGCGGAATCCTGGGGGCGGCGCCTGGGGAGAAGATCAGCCAATAGTGATGCATCTCAAGGAAGTGGGCGGGTTGCGGGTGGCGGACCCTGCGGTGGAGGGACGGGTCTGCCTGGAAGGACCGGCTGGGGCGGGGGACCTGGTGTCCAAGGAACTCGGAGAGAGAGCCTCTAAGATTCAGGGGAGTCAGTGCCTGGGACCAGCTGGGGTTCTGGGGAGGATGGGGTGCTGGGCTGCGGGCAAAGCTGGGAGAGAAGCCATCCCTCTCTGCAGCCAGTGGAACACTTAACACTGTCCCCCTGGACAGTGAGATAGTATCAGCCATCAGCAGAGTCTCTGAAAACCTTCCTGGCCTTTCATCCAGATAAAACCGGTGAATTTCTCAATAGCAATCTCCTTTGAATGGCACCTGCTTTCCTGCTGAGAACTTTGCTCTCTGAAGCCATCCATTAGCAGAAACCTTGCTGTTTGAAATTCTAAGAATGACACAGCTCGCTCCCCCTGGAGGATTGAAGTCACAGCCACACAGAAGGGACCTGGTTTCCAGCCCAGGTGCAGAGCTCCCTGAAAGCAGTTTCTGGACTGGTTGTTCCACAACCAGCTTAACTTGGAGATTCCTAGGAACCCCAAGCCAAGTCCACTGTACAGCCCAGACACGAGGCTAGCCCCTTTGCACATCACCTTGCCTCATTGTACTTGACCTGAGCTCCTCCCTTTCACAAGATCCAATGACTTTGTCAGACTGGCGTGAAGCTGATTGGACCAGGATAACCATGAGGTTCGACAGGGCAGTGTTTGCCTTTAGTTTGCAAATGTACATGAAACGGCACCAAATAGGCAGCAGGAAGCCAGCAAGGAGCAGCAGAGTTCCTAACCTCAACACCCTCATCCTTCCTCACTCAATCCCCACCTGCTGAAAGAGTGGGGGTACCGATTAAACTGAGGGGAGAATGATGGCTAGGGAGGGTGCATCTGTGGGTACAAGTAGGGGGAAGATAAGGAAAAAACAGAAAGGAGGGGCCTAGAGTTCATAAGTAAAAAATCAGATGGAATCTAAGGTTATAAACTGGGATTTCTCCATGAAGTCAGAGGCTATCTGAACATTTTCAAAGTCTACTGCTTTTCCAAACCCCTTCATAATCAGAACCCAGCAGCACCTCTGCTAACACTCCATTTCACCCATTATGAAGAAACCAGGATTGAGAGAAGTGAAGTGACTTTTCCAGGGACACACAACTACACTCCTGACACAAGCCCAGGGCTCTTTCTACTGCCGTGCACCTGAACGGTGGACGTAACCCTGGATGTAACCCACAACCCGGTTTGAGTGCTTGGTTTGCATTTCTGCGGAGCAGAAGGACAAAGCCGCAGCTTGGAACGCTGGTTTTTCAGAGCCCTGGGAGAGTCAGCCCACAGCAGCCACTGCACCTACAGGAAGGGGCAAGAGCTCCCAGGAGTAAGCCTTGCTCTGGCTCCATTCCAGGATGCTGAGTCAAAGGCAGGTGACTCAGCACACACTGTCCTCAAGCCTGGCCAAGCCCTGGGAGAAGGACTCTGAACAGGAAACCACTGCTCTGTGGGACAAGGACTGGACCGGAAAGTGGTAGGAGAGAGTCTTTCCCTCCATCCTGGTTCCTGTCCACCACGTGGCACCACTCCTCTGCCCTGCCTGGAGCACAGCCATGGCCTTCTGCCCAGCCCTGCAGCCATCTTCACTCCCTTTCCTGCTCAGGCCAGACCCACCTAAATGGAACATCAAATCACATCATCCCACCCCTCAAGGCCTCACAGTCTTCTTGCTATGGCTCACAAGACCTGCCTAATTTCTAATTCACCCACCACCTAATTTCTGATTTCAGCTGGGGTGGCTCTCTTCCTCCCTCTGTGAACTCCAGCCCTAGACCTGCCACCAGCATCTGGAACAGGATAAGTCCTTTCTCTCCCCACTCCTATCTGGGCTGAGCAGTCCCACGTGACTCAGCCCTTTGTTCAC